ACCCATGCAAAAGAGACCTTGTCTCGGTCCGAAAATCAAAGTTGCTCAAAATCCCAACTTGGCGATATCTCTGAAAATCCTCGAATGTCATGAAGCGAGCGTAGTTCTTATTCGATTCCGTGCGGGCCAAGTACCGAATGACTTCTTCAAAGAGTGATTCATCGCAAGGAATTGCAAGTGGACCTGTATTGGTGAATCCATATTCTTCCTGTGCTTGAACCAGTAATTTCTTGAACAATGGATGGTTCAGATATGTAGCTCGGACGACAAACCGTTTGCAGCTAGACCCGACGGTGACTGCAACATGGCCTACCGGCACATCGGAAGGTGCACCGCGGAGCGTGCTCATGGCCGCTGCCGCCTTCTTCCGCAATTGTCTAAGCATCCGGCGGAGTGTGACTAAGTGGCGGATTTTGCTGCATACAGACATTTTTGACATTTTCTGTACAGTAGTGTGAGCGTTTTTAGAAAATAAATTCAAATTAAATCTTGTAGGGGTGAATGAGAAACAGAGAGTGAGGAGATCGAATTATCGGAAGGAGATGGAGTTATATAATGTTGGGTTTGAGCAAATGCCCCTGGTTTTGGTCATAATTACACCATGACCATATATCAATGTACTTAACATCATCATAAACATTCTCTTTTTTTTTTTAATTTTCAAGTAAATTATTTATCTATATACAATTATAGACAAAATCGAGCCTATTAATATTTCGTATTTCATTCGCCGTAACAAACATTCAATTAAATAAAGGTTTAACTATAAGTTTAGGAAGAATAACTGCCGTTCGTAGTAAAAATGATTTTTTGACGCACAAAGTAGAAAGTCGAAATATCCCAAGCGTATGAATGCAAAGTTGGAGAAAAAGTTCAATCAAATCTATTTTGTTCTTAGGGGTAGTTGGCTTGGTCTATAAAAAATGGTTTTTTTAAAACCCATTAAATAAAAAATTCCATTTTTTTGTCTAATAATTTTGTATTCCCATGAACCATGTGCAACACTGCCCCATCTATCATTTTCTTTAAAATTCCTTTGCTGAACTCCAAATTTTTATCTATTTTTTATCCTTTATTTGGTAATTAATTAGTTGAAATTAAATTTAATCTTGCTTGGTTTTATATATACATGCCTCTAGGTCTTGACGCGTGGCATTGATGTGAAGTATGAACCCTAAAATTAAGAGTATGATTTTCTTGATTTGTTTTTGCTTAGGATGAAATGATTCTGATTGTTTTTGGGTTTGTGTGTTGAGATTTGAAGGGCACTCATTGAATGGTCAATGATCCCCTTAAACCTCACTTAAGACTTGAACAGTCGAAATAAAATAATAGGCAAAACTTTAATTTTTTATTTCTTTAATCGGGTTTCTTTCAATCTAGTTCAACGTATATGTTATCAAAACTGAAAGCTCTAACACCAATTTGTCGTGAAAAGATAAGATATTAAGCCATAATATGAAGCCATTGATAACAAGAACAATGTAATTTGCAGATAATTAAAAATTTATTATAATATAGAGAAAGAATACAAATATTATATATATATATATACACTAGATTTAAGCAACGTGTAATGCACGTTTGCTTAGTTTATATATAATTTTTTTGGTTAAGAATTAAATTTTTATTAATAAAGATGTAATTTTTTGGTTAATTAAATAATTAATGATGTAATGTTTATGTAATTGATAAATAATTACACATTGTGATTTACTAAAAAAAGACCATTAACAGAATCTATAGCATCGTCCTATATATAAATATCGCTCATAGTTTTATGAAAGTTGTTTGAAATAATTTTGATTCTAAGATAACGATTCAACATTTTCCTCATCTTGCACTGCTTCAATAGATATGACATTAAATTGCCTATATTTTTTCTCATTTAGTTTCTCTGGATCTACATAAACTTAAATCTTCCAAATTTCTTTTGATAATTTCTCTGCAACGCTTTTAACATATGGTCGATTTTCCTACAAAATCAATTTCGAATATTTTCACATAATTAATTAAAAGACCCAATTATTTTTAAATAACTCTTTATAATAAAAATCAAGTTTTGAAGAAAAATTTAAGAAATACCTCTCCAGCATGTCCCATCAATTCAACTGTTGAACAACTAAGTGCATGTTCTGCTACTTCACCAAACATAGTAGCAGCTAGTTTTCCTGTATTATCGTCCAATTGAACATATCCTCTAACACTTTAAATGCGTTAAATATATTAATTTTAATTTGAATAGTGTTAAATTCTAAATTAAATCAGACATCAATTTTTAATTAAAATTGTAAGATACATACCGTGGTTTGTAGACCCATTGGTTTTTGCAATATATACAAACGAAGCTTTCATTGTATTTATATCCAGTTCCTTTATTACAGTCAACGCATGACATGTAATAAAATATTTGGACAAACTCAATCACATTTATCTTCGCCCATATCCAGAATTTTGCTTTCTACATTAAATCATAATCAATTTTTACAATGAATGTTAGTGTAAAGACAAAAAAATGTATAAGTTTGTGTTTCGTACTATTATATTATATCAAATTTTGCACTTAATCATGAACCTTTTGTACATAATAAAATAATAGATAACATTACATTACAATACAAAACTAAATAAATAAATATTTTTTCTTCATTAAGTTCAATGTACCTTACCAAATAAATTATTAGCATTTTTAAACTGATAATCTCCACGTCCATTTTTTTTTTTAGTTTAATTTTTTCCTAGTGACTAAAATGTAGTAGTACAAATATTTTGCATTTCTCATTCATTTATTATTAGATAATGGAATTCCAACAGACACAACATCAATTGTCACAAACGGTGGCTTAATTGCTATTTAATGGAAACAATAAAACTAACGGTGAAAAAAGATTTTCCGTTAAAACAACCAATTCCGTTAGATTTTCCGTTAAAACAAGAATTTCCGTTTCATAGGCACTTTATATATATATATATATTAGGTGCAAGTAACGTGCAATGCACGTTTGCCTAGTTTATATTTATTAGTTTTGTTTAAGAATTAATTTGTTATTAATAAAGATGTAATTTTTTTGGTTAATTAAATAATTAATGATGTAATGTTTATGTAATTGATAAATAATTAGATGTGTGATTTTGATGTTGTGATGTAAGTTGGTGAGATCGAAAAAAATAAGTAAAAGTTGACAAATTTGGAGAAAGGGCTAAATTGTAAGAGATCCAAAGTTCGGGGACTAAAATGTAAATACTTAAAAGTTGTGCCGAACCTCACGATGAAGATTTGAGAGTGCTCGGAATCAATTGGATAAAGGAAGACATCAATGGAATCAAATTTAGTTAAAAGATGATCACAAATCAATTTCCAACCGAAAAGTTATGATCCGATATTTTAGTCTCATATTGAGACCTATTTTTGGCAGAAAAAGTGATCGAATTGGATAATGATGTCTGAATCAAAGCTGTATCCAGATGAGTTAGCTTTCCAACGCATTTTGAATCGCCTCAATCGGATAACGGAATACAAAATTATGATAAAAATACGGAAAGAAGGTGCAACTGCCTGTTTAAAATAAAAAATTCTGTTACATAGTCCGTTAAAACAACAAATTCCGTTAGTTTTTCCGTTAAAAACAAGAAATTCCGTTATATAGCCACTTTGACGTTCAAACCCTTGTAGTAGAGTTATAGATGAAATAGAATATAAAAAATGAAGTAGGAGAAGAAAAAATACGCTAAACAACATTGCGGCGTTGCAGCACCATTCTCCGAGCACCGCTATCGGTGCCTTGACACATTTTTTCATGGGTGGTGCCTTGATGCCCGTCTCCATCCAAATTGTCTTCCAAAGATATTTTTCTTCATTTCAAAGTTCTTTTCAAATCCAATACAAATTCCTACTTCCAATAAGATTTCAATTAAAACTTCAATTAGAATTCACCAAATAAACTTGAATATGATTTCACAAGATGTTATAAGATGCTTTATCCTCTCTTTTAAATAAGAGCATCGTATACTTTTTCGATGGTGAGAGTATCACAACTATATAGTATCGTGTCCCTAAAAGATATGTAAGAGGCAGGCAACGAACACAACAAAATCAGTCTCAAGTCTTTTTCATCATATTTGACCTACAAGGTCTTCAAATCAGTGACGATTTATTTAAAAGCAGTTAGGTGATCCTCAAAACATGTAGATTATATCATACGATGAGAATATAGACGTTGTTTCAAATATAATTTGTTAGTAAGACTCTTTGTCATGCATAATTGCTTCAATTTTAACCATAATGCAGTCGCTAACTTCTTCTTCAAAATGTCCTCAAGAATATTATTTGAAAGATGAAGATGTAGTTGAGATACGGCATTTCGATCCCTCCGTTGTTTCTCCTTTACAGTCCAAATTGTAGCCATTTTGTCAAATCCTAACGTGTCATCTAAATTTATTTGATCAAGTACCGGTCGCATATTTACCTGCTACAAAGAAACTCTTGTATTCCGATCTAATAGTTGAATATCATACTTTATTGTTGCTATCACAAAAGATCAAGTTCATGCATTAACTTGATCAAAATCTCAATTTTCCCAAGAGTTTCAATACCAAAAACTCCGATATCAATTGTTATGGAAACTAGAATGCTCTAATACTAGTTTGTTGTGAAAAACAAGAGATTAACCCACAAAATGAAGTAACTGATAATAAGAACACAAGAACAATGTAATTTACAGATAATTGATATTTTATTATAATATGGAGAAAGAATACATATAATATGGAGAAAGAATACAAAGATTATGTGTTTATGCTATTTCTAACGTCTTACAAAATCATAATGAAAAGCCAATTATACATATAGGGAACAAACAATTAGGAGATGTCCAAACTCTTATAATAGAGTTGTAGATGGAATAGAATACCGAAAACGGAGTAAGAGAAGAAAAAATACGCTACACAACGTTGCAGTGCCACTATCCGAGCGTCGACTTCTCTGCCCACTTTTTCATGGGTGGCGCCAAGGCACTGTGTTTCGATGCCTTGGGGCCTATTTCGGTTCAAATTGTCTTCTAAAGATTTTTTTTCTTCATTCCAAAGTCTTATTCAAGTCCAAATAAAAATTCTTACTCCTAATGAACTTCAAAGTAGAATTTCAAATAGAATTCATCAAGTAAATTTGAATTGGATTTCACAATTGCATCTCAAATAGAATTTTAATTAATGTGCACTTTCATTAGAACTCTTAATTATCTTTAATAATGAATTCGGGTCTCACTCAAATTCTAACAATATAATATATCTCAAGTACTTCCTCTTATGCATTATTATCTAGGGGCTTTTAAGCCGGTGTCTTCACTCGATGTATGGATCAAATAATATATATGGATACTTTTCAATGATTTGTTGCACATTTGTAAAGACAAAGTTAATGCAAAATTACTA